CACTTCTAAATGAAGGAATAAGTACTTTACAAATAATTACTATTTAGGAGAAGCAAAAACTAATAGAAATAAAAAGAGAAGAAAGTAGGCCCAAGGAAGAAATGAAAGGGGTGACTTGGAAGCCAGCTCACGATAGAGGTATCAAAGCATTTACACTAACAAGGTCCTTGAGTTCCTTTGAGCCACAGGAGCCAAGATTTTCTCTCTCTTTTTGGATACTGTAATATTTTTTTTTGCCTTTTTTTTCAAATGATAATTTTAGACTTACAGATGATCTATAAAAATAGTACAGAGCTCCCATATGCCCTATATCTGGCTTCCTTTTATCATAACATCTTATATAACCATATTTATCAAAACTAAATACAAGTACAAACATTATTCACATTGTACCAGTTTTCTACTAATGTCCTTCTTCCCAGGCTTTTTTTTTTGCCTTTAGTGATCAGAATTGAACTCAGTGTCTTACACATGCATGGCAAATGCCCTACCACTGAGCTATAACTGCAGGTCATCAGTTCTAGGTTCCTATCAAGAAATCTAGTCTACTTAGACGTCATGCCTCCTTTGTTTTCTCCATTCAATCTGTGACAGCTCCTCAGCTTTTCCCTAACTTTCATGTCCTTGACACTTTTGAACAATGCTGGTTAGTTATCTTGTAAAATGTCTCTCAATTTGGGTTGTCATTTTCTCATGATTAGAATGAAGTTACAGGGGCTGGGGATGTGGCTCAAGCGGTAGCGTGCTCGCCTGGCATGCGTGCGGCCCGGGTTGGATCCTCAGCACCACATACAAACAAAGATGTTGTGTCCGCCCATAACTAAAATAAATAAATAAATATTTTTTAAAAAATTTATTAGAATGAAGTTACACACCATTTAATAGGACACTGAGATGATATGCCCTCACATCAGGGCTTTGTGATATCAATATAAATTACTGGTGACTGTTTTTTTTTTCTTTAATATTTTGAGGAAGATACTTCATCACTATCTTTTTTTTGTACTGAAGATTGAACACAGGGGTACTTTACCACTGAGCTACATCTCCATCCCCTCTTTCTGTTTTTTAAATATTATTTTAGGTTTTTGATTAACCTATTTCTTTAAAATTTATTTTTATGCAGTGCTGAGAATCAAACCCAATGCCTCACACATGCTGGGCAAGAGCTCTACCACTGGGCTGTGACCCCAGTCCATCCTCACTCCTTTTTATTTTTTATTTAGAGACAGGGTCTCACTTACAGCCTGGCTAAGCTGCTGAGGCTAGCCTTGAACTTGCCTTGGCCTTCAACTCCTGTCTCTGCCTTCCCAAGTTGCTGGGATTACAAGCATGAGCCACTGCATCTGGCTATCACTAACACTTTGATGGGTAAAATTCTCCAGCAGGAAAACATATTTCACTGTGAAAGAGAAACCTAATAGGAAGTATACACACTTTGTTTGGTTAAAGGATATATAACGACATAAATGAATAGCAATGAATGCTTTGAAATTCTATGTTATTCTAATAAGAAAAACATTTTTTTTTTTTTTTTTTTTTTTTTTTTTTTTTTTTTAAAGAGAGAGTGAGAGAGGAGAGAGAGAGAGAGAGAGAGAGAGAATTTTTAATGTTTTATTGTTTAGTTCTCGGCGGACACAACATCTTTGTTGGTATGTGGTGCTGAGGATCGAACCCGGGCCGCACGCATGTCAGGCGAGCGCGCTACCGCTTGAGCCACATCCCCAGCCCAAGAAAAACATTTTAAAATTAGGGTTTAGGAAGACATTTTGGTCAGTAAGACATGTTAGATTCTCCTAACACACACACAAAAAAAGCTGTACAGATTCCAGATTCTTATCACAAAGATACAGTGATCCAAGTAGAAACAAAGGTCTTCACTAACAACCAACTATGCAAAAATCACACTGAGATGCTCTGGTATAGGGAGATTCCCTACATATGCTGACATAAGTTAAACCAGATATAAATTGAGTAATTAGCATCAGAGAGATGGAATAAGGAGTAGTCAGCTTCAAGTGAGAAAATGAGATATAGAAAATGATTTGAATGGTTAAAAAACGAGCATTTGAGGGCTAGGGCTGGGGCTGTGGCTCAGTAGCAGGGCGCCCGCCGTGCACGTGAAGCCCTAGGTTTGATCCTCAGCACCACATAAAAATAAATAAAGATATTATGTCCATCTACAACTAAAAAAATGTAAAAAAAAAAAAAAGAGTATTTGAGAACTGCTCATGTCTAACGCAGTCTAATTAAACCAGATATTCATAAATATGTATTGCTGCATCTCTCAATACTCAACCATAACTATACATTAAAGACCCAAGACCTGGAGATGGAAAGCACATTTTTATGGTTTCTTTCAGGGGTTGGTCTACACCAACAGTAGTAGCAGCAGTTCTCTTCTTGCTGCTGACAAAAAGGGTCAAATTTATCCACTGAGTGAGTAGGACATTATAATCTCTCAGTCACTGTAATGTCTCACACTGTTCAGCACCTTTCTGCCCTGTTTATTGCCTTTCTTTAAAGTCCCAATTTTCAGCATCTGTTCCAGGTTACAGTCAAAGGAGTCCCTGCTTCTTCTCTTCAGAGGTAAGTTACATGAAAACTAATGAAAGTATGTTCTGCCTTGAATTAAAACACCACATGGCATCACTGTGTATGTGTGAGTATAAAAATAATGGGATTAGGATGGTTACTATATATAATTCAAAAGTTATTTAAACAGAATTTGAGACAGATCTGAGAATACTATTCTTAAAGGGAAACACATTCAGAACAATGAATCTACTTTGAAAGGATAGTTTCAAAGGTTTTCACGATTTGTAAAAAATTCATAGTTAAATACAACTTACATTCTTTAGAAAAAAGTCTCTTTCTTTTACCCTGTCCACCTTCTGCACCTCCTCCAATTTCTTCATTTTCCTCCTCAAACTAGAAATTAAAATGCATACATAGAAATGTCAAAGACTGCATTGCATTTGATAGACAATAATTAGTATTTCCAACACTGATATCAAGCTAAAAAAAATCTAAATTGGGCAGGAAAAAAAAATCATGAAATCTTAGCACCCGGCTGGGGATGTGGCTCAAGCGGTATCGAACTCGCCTGGCATGCGTGCGGCCCCGGTTGGATCCTCAGCACCACGTACAAACAAAGATGTTGGGTCCGGCGAGAACTAAAAAATAAATATTAAAATTCTCTCTCTCTTTTTTTTTAAAAAAAGAAATCTTAGCACCGAAGGTACTTAAAAATGAGCCCAATTTCCAAGTTATGCAGAAATAGTTTCTACAATGCACCTAACAATCCTATTGCCTTTACATATACGAGTTCTAACGAGTGTAGACTGTTAAATAACAGAAAATAAAACACTACACAGCGTTAAAGATTTGATACTGAGTCAGAGTCTACTCCCTACAGTAAAACTAACGTTTACTAAGCACTTGCTTATACAGTGCTAAAACTTTCCTCAAGTAACCCTTATTTTATGAAAAGAAAACGATGCTCAAAGTTACGTAATTTGCTCCGAAAAAAAAGAGAGAGAATTTGAGATCTAGGCTTCCTGAATTCCAGTTCATTCTTTTTCCACTACTTCACTGTAAGTACAGTTTAGTTAGCAGTTTGACTGCCAGTTCATAATGAGTTTCAGCAAACAGTAGCTGTGACCTCTGATAATTCTCTAGTGTTTCAAAGGGTATCTGGCAGATCCAGACCAAAACCAAAGGGAAAGAACCACCCTTCTACTCTTCCTTCATGTCTTGTCCCACGTACTAAAATGACAAATCCAATGAAAAGGGCAAGCAAAGCGAAGTCCCTGCATTCTCTCGGCTGAATTCGCTAAGGAAAACAGACTCGATTCTCAACTCTGCCTCTGCTAGGGAGCCTAAAGGAATGACAAAGGCAGAACGTTGAGACCGAGGCGTTCACTCACGGTCGGGTCTTCTTCCTCATCTGCCATCCCACTAGCCCGCCAGCCCACAGCCCCTCGCCGGCTAGCTGCTGGCTGCTTTTACTACTTCCTCTACGTCACTTCCGGTGGCGCGCGGGGGGTGGGGTGGCTCCAAATATGGTCTGCGCCTGCGCGATTAGGAGGAGTTTGTTCCCGAACGACCGCCTAGACAGTCCCCAGGGGAGGAGGGATGCTCTTTTGCGTCTAATCCCCAAGAAGTAATTAAAAACAGTGCAAAGAAAAGCGAGTGTGGACTCCGAGTCCGAGGCAGGAGCATCTCAAGTTCGAGGCCAGCCTCAGCAACTTAGCGAGACCTTGTCTCAAAATAAAAATTAAAAAGGAATGGGGATGTGGTTCAGTGGTTAAGCGCCCCTGGATTCAATCCCCAGTACCACAAGGAAAAAGAGTGGGGCTAAGCGGCGTGTATCTCGCTGTCACCCTAAATTTGCCCCTGCACATTCTGCGCTTCCCGATTCGGAACTGCGACGTTGTGCATCCTAGAAAGACCAATCAGCGGTCCTTGGTCTGAAATGTCAACAACTTTAACTTTCCTCCATTTATATCCAAACACTGTTACTTACCGAAAGCATATTGTGTTTCCCTACTAGTACCCAAGAGGGATATATTCCTAGACCAACAGGATTCAAAACTGGGAAGTGTTTGGGGTCGGAAAAATAATCGGAAAAATCATGGGCATTAGAAGGCTTAGAGCTAAGCATGTCGAATAACCTACAATGTAAGAGAAGATGTCTCTCGACCAAAAAAAAAAAAAAAAATCTTTCAGAATGTCCTGCTGTCCCGCTGAACATTCAGAGAGTGAAAAAGATAATTATCTGAATCTAGAATCTGTTTTTGTTAACTAAATACAAAGCCTCTGCCCGTACTTTAATTGTACACTCATTTTATAGGAATGTTGCTGCCCAAAATTTGGTATACAGTACTTTGTTTTGCTTGGATCTTACTAAGAGCTGAGAAAATAATGTCATCAAAAACAAGATGTAATTTGAATAGTCAATACTCCCGCCCCAAACAGTCTGCATCTGTAAAGGTACTTCCACATAAGAAATCTATACCAGGTGCAGTGGCACATTCCTGTAATTCCAGCAACTCAGGGGGCCCAGGCAGGAGGATCTCAAGTTCAAAGCCAGCCTCAGCAATTAGTGAGACCCTATTTTTAAAAAAAATAAAGGAGATAGAGGGCTGGGAATGTCGCTCAATGGTTAAGTACCTCAGGATTCAATCCCTGGTGCCAAAAAAAAAAAAAATCTATAAAGTCATCCTACCACCCCTAGTGCAGTCCAAAACTGTAAAATAAATAAATAAACCTTTCCTCTTTTAAAGTTGCTTATCTCAGGTATTTTGCTACAATAGTGGAAAGTTGACTAACATAGCATTAATCTCAGCTCAAGATGAAATACAAGCAGAGTTGGGGCTGGGGATGTGGCTCAAGCGGTAGCGCGCATTCGCCTGGAATGCGTGCGGCCCAGGTTCGATCCTCAGCACCACTTACAAACATGTTGTGTCTGCCAAAAAACTAAAAAAAATAAAATAAAATATTAAAATTCTCTCTCTCTCTCTCTCTCTCTCTCTCTTTAAAAAAATAAAAAAATAAAAATAAAAAAACAAGCAGAGTTGAAGGCTAAATCTCATAAAGTTGCAAAAATCTCGTCAGCCTCAGTGGTGCAGGTCTGTAATCCCAGTGGCTCCAGAGGCTGAGGCAGGGGATCACAAATTCAAAGCTAGCCTCAGCAATTTAGTGAGGCCCTAAGCAATTTAGCGAAACACTGTCTCAAAATAAAATAAAAAAGAAAGGGCTGGGAATGCAGCTCAGTGGTTAAGCACCCCTGGGTTCAATTCCCAGTACGAGAAGAAGAAAAAAAGAAATTAAGAGATTAAAGAATTTAGGAAAAGGGCCGGGCACAGTGGCACATGTCTGTAAGCCCAGTCACTCAGGAGGGTGAAAGATCAGGTGAGGCGGGCAGTGACCAAAGGAGGCAGATTTAAAAAGGCCGCTGAACGAGGCTTTATTGAGATATCACTCCCAGGTGGAACTCGATCAGACCCACGGAGTGGACAGGAGAGAAGGGTCTGAGGAGAAACCACGTGGGAGGTGGACCAGACTGGGATTTTATGGGGCTTAGGCAGGAAGGGAAGGGTTTGGGACAGGAAAAGCCCTTGTCCCGCTGGAGTTGGTTGGGGGAACTGGCAGAACTCCAAGATTGGCCAGGGGGGTCCTGCTGATTGACAGGCATTAATCAGGAGATCCCACTGATTGACAGGCATTTCCATTGGGCCTGATTGGTGTTTCTTTCCCACATATGCTGTTTTGTCCTAAGTGACCGCCACCAGCCTGACAGAGGCTGGGACGGGGAATCTTGAGGTCAAAGCCAGCCTTAGCAAAAGTGAGGTGATAAGCAACTCAGTGAGACCCTGTCTCTAAATAAAATACAAAATAGAGCTAGGGATGTGGCTCAGTGGTCAAGTGCCCCTAAATTTAATCCCCAATATCCCCCTCAAAAAAAGTTAAAGAATGTGTATATTGTAAGGTCCTTGCTTAGCATCTGGATGGCCATCTTAAGTTACAGTGGCCATTTTAAGAAAAAGTTACCCTTTTTCTCCCAAGGGCCTTTCAGAGAAAGGTTCACCACTCCCTCATACTGTAATGCCTGATTTGTGGGACCCCAACAGACCTCCAGGAGCTGAATCCCATGCAATCTTACAAGAGTTTTTATTGCAAGCTGGAGCCTGGACTCACAATTGTACCCAATGCAGTGGTCCCAGGGAGTGAGTCCTGGTCCTTTGTTCAGTGAGATTTTATAGGTTTGGGGGGGATACTCTATGCATCACAACATCACACAGCAAATCATTCCATACCTCGGGAAAATCAAACAACAACTCTTAACATTGATTAGCACATTCACTGGCGGGAACAAGTTGGGTAGGGGTGATTGGTTAGTACAAGAGGGGGATTCCTTTGAACTGATTGGTTTAAGCCACGAAGGGTGTATGTGCTAAACTATATGGCTTTCCAACATGTTATCGACCACCATAAACTACTTGGGGGTCATCTGGCATCCCAGGTATTTTCCCTGTCTCATGCTGATTGGTGGTTGCTAGGGGGGTTGCTATGGGTCCTCACCTAGCCTAACTGAGTCAGAGACACCTGGCGCTGCAAACCTCTCCCGTTATTTACAGATAAACAACTCAGCAGGGTGGGTAGGTACTTAGGAGTGCTCTGTGGGTTTTTCCAAGGACAAGGGTCATGACCCCTTCCTTGGACAGGCTTTGCTCTGAGGTAGAGGCTGGTTTCTCAAAAATGGAGTCACATTAGTTTCTCAATACCAACCCAACCCAACCCTTCATGCTAGCATTCTATCATCACTCCTTCATACCAACCCCATCCTTAACCACCCTGCCCTGATCCCTGAGCCTGTCCCATAACAGTCACAGAACCCCCCTGTGTTGCCTCTCTCCACCTTTGGAGAGATGTGCCTTTGTCAGCTCTGACAAATTCTCATCTGTATCTCTGCCTAGTGTCTGTCGTTCATTTCTCATTAGCTCATCTCCCAGTTCCTTGCTTTCCTTTCAAGTATACAGTAAATAAATGTTGTATACTGAAAGGTAGAAAAGCAGAGAGAGGAAAACATCCTTAAAAGGGCAGTAGGATCAAGGACAGTGTACTTACACTAAATGATTACTGAATGAATGCAGCTGTGAGTTGTGCCAGACACTTAGTTAACTGCTCAGAAAAGTCAGGTTTTTGTTATAAGCAAAAATGGAGGACTGGGTTTGTGGCTCAGCGGTAGAGTGCTTGCCTAGCTTGTGTTCGTTCTTCAGCACCACATAAAAATAAATAAAGGTGTTGTGTCCAACGACAACAACAACAACAACAAAAAATATATATATATATATATATTAAAAAAAAGTGGAGTGAGTTCTTAAAGAAAAGGTAATAGTAATGATGAGATTTGTTTACAATAGGATTGAATCAGAGAAGCAGAAAAGGGTAATTGATGTGGAGAAGTGTAACTGAGCCTATGTAAGAATTATTTGGGAGGGAAGATAGGGTAGGATTATCAGAAACGGGGAAAGAAGGGTTTTGGGTTTCAGACCTGTGTTGGTGATGGATGGGTTAAGGCAGGAAGGTAGCATCAGACTACAAATCCAGGCAGTAGCTTTGTCTTCCTATCCCACCTCCATTCCTAACCCCACTCCTGGTATAGATCTCTGCAATGCTATTCTCTATTTTTAGGTTTAGTGAGGTATTCTTTTTAAAATGGCTTTCAAAATTTCCACAACAATCCTTTGCAGTCTTAACTATGTGTTTCCTAGATAGTATCCGTACTCCTTGGTTAAATATCTGGGTTCTGAAGTCAGATGGGTTTGGTCTGAAATCCTAGCTATGTTACCTTCGGACAATTTACTTGACCTCTGATTACATCCATTTCTTCATCTGTCAGATAAGGATAATAATAGTTACTAAGCTTACAGGATTATTTTGAAACTTAGAGGTATTAATATCCATGTGGGGATTTTGACAGTATTTGGCTAAACCAAAAGCTGCTAGCTGTGTCCCCCCTCCCCACCTCCTGGCAAGATCCTGCCTTATAGCTTTGTCTTCTGCTATTCCTTTCATGAACCCCACATTCCAGTTTCACAAAGCCACTTCCAATTATTCATGCAACAGAATTTAAGAAGTTCCTGTAAAGTAATCAGCCCTTCCTATGGGACTGTGAATAAAGTGACAGACAATGCAAATGAACTCACAGTATACCAATGGGACATGAAATAGACATTGAATGCTTTGAGAGCTTATGTTGGAGAAAGAGGATCCAAGAATGTCAAAGAAGTTTTCCCTGAGCAAGTAAGGTTTGAGTTGGGACTGAGCAATAGAGTATATTGTTCCCCACGCATACTTGCAACTTTCCCTCTCCAGTTGTTTCTTCCCCAGTGGAATATTTTTCTATCTATTGAGATGCAACATGCCTTTCAGGCTCAGCTAAAATGTCTGCTCCTTTATAAAGTCTTCCCTGAGCCTCCTGATTCAAAGTTTCTCCTTTATACTCCAAAAACACTTGGTTTTCATTTTTCTTTGACACTTTTTAAAATTTTTTT